CCATTCGTATAAGCAACCAAATCTAAGCAGAATCAAAATTTTTTTTAAAAAGTTCACTTTAAGTGAACCACACAGGTGTGCAAGACAGCCTGTTAAAAAGACTTCAAAAGATGTCTCACAAGTTCCTCCCACTCAGCCAAGGAAAGCAAACTTTGCAGCAGAAGTATGTGAACACAAAAATTAATTTCACCAAGAGCAATCCTCAGTCAACTCACACCTCAAGTTCACAGCTCTTGCCAGCATCCAGCCGTTAATCTTCCACTCAGTCTAATTATAAGACTACTCTCTTTTCTACCACAGCTTGACTTTCTTAGTATTGTTTACCTTAATCACCACCTTGGGGAAAAGAACAAAAAGTTCAAGCATGCTGCAAACAAACTTTTGTAAACAGCTTCAGCTGTTTTTTACTATCTACCAACAATCCCTGACAGCAACACCAGTCATGAATACACATTTAAGAAGGGAAGAATACTTTACATGTTAATGATCAAGGCAAAGCTATAAAGACTAGTATTGTGGTGGTGTTTCATTACAAATCAGTGTTTTTAAGACTTTTCCTATATATCTAAATTAAATGACGCATATATAATGCTAGTTCTTGCTACAGAGAACTCTGTCTAGCTGAGGCAAAATTCAGTGCCTGTCATTGCTCCAGAGCACTTAAACACGGGCAGCAGGTAACTGCTGAGCAGCCTAAGCAGCTCACAGATGCTCACAGTTCAGAAGAAAAGATCAGGTATTCCTCTGACAGTCACTATCGCAAAATGTATATGTAAACCGTGATATCCGGTAACAAACCAATAACCTGATATCTCTGAGCTACAGGAAAAAAAATCTCAAAGGAGAACAAGAGTAGAAGTTTTCAAATCAATGGAAGATACAAATCCAGATATATTGTCCATAGCCAGAATGAGGTTCCAGTTCCAAAGATGTTTGGGAATGTCACTAAAATCACCACAGAACTGGGATATTTTTCATACTTTTCAGAAGAAAAGTAAGATAGATTGTGAGAATCATTTGTAGCAAAATTACTAAATAGTATTACTTAACCAAATACTAAGTCACAGGAAATATGGAGAATCTCTTTTCAGATCATTTCAAGGTTTCCAAGAAAATAAAACAACTACTGTGAACCTGAAGTCCAAGAAGGGTACTCTTATCAGTTCTTTTGAAGGACTTATATTGCAGGAAAGCAAATAAACAAAATCAACTAAGTAATCAACCAAGAATGATTACTTATATTGAAATATTAATTTCTCCCCCTCTACTTCATAATCCAAGAACAAAAAGTGGAAATTGCAGTGAAATTCACATATTATTATGTTTCAGTGGATAATAAAATATTAGCCCCTCTTTTGCTCCTAAAACACTTTATCAGAAACAATAGGAACATTTGAGACAGGATTCGAAACAGCAGTATCAATAACTCATCTGTGAGAATTTCCTATATAATTAAATAAGTGATTTTGTGGATACTGAACAGTTTACAGCCTCTTATTTTTAGTCAGCCCTGATTTCACATACCAACAAGAAATGATTTTGCATTATACAGAACCTTACAAGATCCAGAGTTCCCAGCTTAGCACTACATACCCCAAGTGTGGCTCTTACCTTGTAAAAACTCATTCTTTAAAAGAGAAGATGAACCCTTAAAATAAAACTTCACGTAAAGAAACTATCATAGCAACTCATAGTTACTTCCCTTTTGCACAGCTGGCATTTAAACGGTATAACACATCTTCAGTAGTGCGAAAACCTTAATGCAGCTTAGTTGCTTAATAAATTTGAGGCAGACTTCCCAAAATTATACTGAATAGTATTGCAAAACTGTGGGGGTGGGGGTGGTGAAGGGAAGGGCAGCATCATTAGAAAAGCATTAAAGCTAAATTCAATTATTCAAGTATCACAGATTACTTCTCAAAAATCTCTTCATTAGAAAAGACCAAAGAAGGTGGCACCTCAAATACTACAACTGACTGAGTTACAGGACAATCTCTTTTAGCAGCCTGTACAGGACCTGAACGACACTGTAACTCACATGCTGACAGGGACATTTCAAATGCAACTGATATAAGGTGGCACGAGGCAATCAGATACTACTGCAGCGACCCAAACAGTTTTGCAACAAACAGATTTGGTTCACTTCAGAGTGCTCTACAGCTTTGGGCACTGGAGGCTTGAATTTTTTGGTTGGAAAAAGATGAAGCTCATTGGTACCTAGAACTGTACAACCTCTTTTGAGTGCCAAACACTACAAAACTGAAGTGACAATTTCTTTATTCTTTAGGACAAGGACAATAAATTATCAGAGAAACAGAGCAAGATTTTGCAGAAGGTGCTCAGTACCTAATATCCACTTAAAAGCAGCTAAAGAGCTTTTCAGAATCTCTTATTTAGCAACCACCTGAGCAAATTTTTACCTCTGCTCACAAGCTGTCTAAAATGGGCTGCCACTTTGATTTCAAGGCCAGTATGCTGCAAAAATTGCAGTATTAGACTAATGACTTCAAGCATCATCAAGCCATCTTTCATACATTCTCCTCTGCAACAGGAACTACAGCTTTCAGAGCAAACAAGCACTATGGCAGAACAGAAGAATCAATTCCTGCCACTTAGCACAAAACTACGTATGTTAATCCTACTATCTTGCAACCCACTAAAACTGTTTTGTGTAATAACTCAGAATCCCAGTTAATTTAATTTCTCCTACTGTTCTTTTAGTATCATAAAAAGAGTAATCTAGTGCCTGGGAGTAGTGTTTTCTTGGTAGTTCAGAAATCAAAAGTATTTAAAGCAAATGAAAGAAGAGCTCACCTTTTCTCCTTTTGATTAAAGATACAGTTAAATATAAAACGTAACCATAAATCAGTCAGTCATGGCTAGGCATCGCGAACGAAGATTTGAGAACTATAAATACTTATACATGTACATATATAAAAGAATAAAATCCTCACAATGCTACAGTAGTCCCAGTATAAAAGAGAGCATTAACACAGATTTCCATGCTTTTTATGCAAAAACTCAGTACCAGACACTTCTTTCATCAGAAATGCCAGTCTCAAACTTTTAGAGATACAGCATGAAGCATTAGAAAGTTTTTCAGGTGTTCTCCATGATCATGGAAGACTTAGTGATTTTAATATTATTTATTTCAAAATAAGCAACTTTCCCTGCAATGTATAGGGGGTTCTTATTAGCATACATTTGAAAAAAATGACCCTTCTGCTCACTTTGCAGCACAACAGACACCACCACTGAAGCAAGTGATACAAGACTGAGAAATACATACTTTAGGGAGCTCTAGGAACTTTTTTTTGTTCATCTAACTAATATATTTGGAAGAGGAGTAAGAGAAAAAATACAAGATTTCCAGTACGGGTCCTCTCAAACGAATTCTAGTTCTTCATATGTAAAATACACAAGTAGAATTAAGAGATGAGCTCTGGCAATAATTTTAATAGAATACAGGAAGGCAGAGACCTATTCTAACCCTTTCCCCCAAAGGCCACATCTCTGCACAGCAGGCGAGAGAATTTCTAGTATTATACAATACAGTAAAATTACTTGAGTGTCAGATGCAGACACAAAACTTCTTACTGAAAGCTACTAATGTAGCTTTCAGTAAGAAAACAAATTAGTTCATGGTCCAAATACTGCATTTTCAAATTTAATGTAAGAATAGTTGTAACTTTTTAAGCATGTGAAACGTAATATCTGAATTGCTTAAGGAATTCTACTAAAACACAAATATCATAAGAGTCAATTAACACCACATTAGTATTTCCAGTTTTGTGAGCAACTTGTTCTCTCATTCTCACCTATCACTAACAAAAGAACATAGATTACACTATCAGTTTTATGTCAAAATAATAGAAACGGGGATGTCATAATTATTTTTGTTGTCATTTGTTTACATGTTTTCCATTATTTTCATATGATACTGTAATGCATTTATCAGGCTAGCAGAATGCAGGCCCCCTTCCCAAAAAGCACCATCTGCTATTCCACTAAGATGGAAAATATGCAAAGAAAATCCTCTCTTATCTCAACGAATCTGCAAACTAAATCTGAGCTTCAAGGAAGTCAGGGGTTTTATAAGAAGGTAATCACAAGTGTTCACAAACAGACTGTATCAAACAAATTTTCTTCTAATCAACTTAGACAACCGAGTCAGAGAACTAAACAACATGGCTGCATCATTTAGCCTGGATACAGTCGTGTTTCAGAGCTATCTCATCATCTAACAGTTAGACATAACACAGCCCTTTAGCAATTAATACTTATTTCAAATAGGTTAGAAAATAAAGCATGCAGCTATCAAACTCTGGTACAGCCACACACCGCACAGCTGGCCCTTATTGATTCTTCACACCGTAATTCACAGGGAATACGAGGAATAGAGGCTTTTTTAAACAGGATTTTCAGGCTCCAATACCACAAAGCAGACTACAATAGAAGCACTCCGAGCATCCCGACACGCCGTGTTTCGCCCATCCACACGTACACAAAGTCTGTAGGAACACACTGGAGCAACTGTGATGTTCTACAGACGGGAAACATTTCGGTGGAAACTTTTCGTCGCATGCGCCCGAACATGTCTCCAGTCCAGCCCCGTTAACATTTCGCCACTCCCGGGACCCGACCCCCCCCGCGCTCCCCGGGCTCGGCGGGTGCGGGGCCACCACATCCAACCCAGGGCCTTTTCCCTTTTTCTCCTGGGCGGCTCCTGCCGCACGACGCGAGCTCTCGGGTTTCTTTTCCCAAAGAAAGTTGTGACGGCGGGGAGAGGCCCGCCCGGCCCAGGCCGTCGCCCCCCGAACCCCCGCGGGCCGAGGGAGGGCCGGGAGCGGCGCCGGACAGCGGCCGCGGCCTGAGGGAAGGGAGGCACGACCGGCGCCACTGCCCCCGTGCTCCCGCCTCCCGCGGCCCCCGCTGCCCTCCCCGCCTCGCTCGGAGCAAAACAGGAACCCGCCCGACCCACCCCCGGCCCCCGGGCGCACCTGCGGGCCCCAGCGGCGGCCCGGGGCCGGGCTGCCCGTCCTCGCCGAAGATCAGCCTGAAGTCGAACTCGTCGGTGGCGCCGCAGTTTGCCGTAGTCATGGGTTTGGCCGGCGAGGCTCAGCGAGACCCCGTCGCCCCTCAGGGCCGCGCCGGGTCCTGCCGGGCTACGCTCGCCCCTCAGGGCCGCCGCATAACACCGGAGGGGCCGGAGCGGGGGTAGGGGGCGACACCCGAGCGACGACTCCGGCCCCGGCGCGAGCTCCGGTGCCCGGGCGCTTCTGTCACTCCGGGGGGGCGGGCGCGTAACTCCAGGCCTCGGCTGGTCCCGCCCCCGCACCTCGCCCCGGGCAGCGCCCCCCGAGCCGGCCCTCCCTCCCTCTCTCCCTCCCTCTGCCCGCCCCGCCCGCGGTGACGTCGCGGCACCGACAGCGCCTCGTGACCGCCGCCGGTGCCGGGACGAGGGACGGGCCGCGCTGCCGCCGGTCACGTGGCGCGGAGAGCCCGCCTAGCCCTGTCCCCCGCGCCGCGGGGGCTGCTGGGGGATGTAGTTGGCTGCCGGTGGCCAATCCCGGGCGGCCAGCGGCGCGCGGGGGGCGGGGCCGCGCGCGGGGCGCGGTGCCACGTGTCGGCCCCGCCGGGCCCGGTCCCGGCACGGTCCCGTTCTCCATCCTGTGCCCGGTACCGTGGAGGCGGGCGCTGAGGAGTCCCTGTGTGAACCCTCCTGCAAAGCGCAAACGGCCGCCTGTGAAAGCAAAGGAGCAGAATCCCTCGCGGCGTGCGGATCTCACGTTATCTTCTAAAACACCGCATGTTAATAGGTGGTGCTCTTGACACTAATTAATGGCTCGAATAATTAGGTAGGTTGACGTAAGCAGAGGAATGTCGCTTGGGTAACAAGCGCTGGCTGCAGGACTCTGTCAGCCACTCGCCTTCCAGCTCAGTGGCAATGGAGCAAACACAGAATCATAGACTATCCAGAACTGAAGGACCATCCAGCAGGACCATCGAGTCCAACTCCTGGCCCTGTACAGGGCACCCCAGCAATCCCACCGTGTCCCTGACAGCCTTGTCCAAATGCTCCGTGAACTCTGGGAAGTTTGGTGCTGTGACCCCGGGGAGCCTGTTCCAGTTCCCAACAATCACCCTCTCATGCACTTCACTTTCTGGTCACCACAGCTGCTGCACCAAGGATGTGGAACTGCAGGCAATTTTCCTCCTAAACCAGTTAAAAAAATCATTTTAAAGCATGGAAAAGTATCTTTACAGTCTTGTACTTTGTGAGATCTGCATCTAAAAGCTTTTAACCAATTAGATACAAATTAAGCTACTCTTTAGCAATGTATGCCATCAATAAAGGGAGCCCAGCAGTCACTAAGAAGAGCACAGAAGCTTCAGTATACTCTGCCTGCACAATAACATACCGTCATCTATGATTTTGCCTTGCAGTAAGGTTGGAAGTCAAATAAAAGGGCAAAAGAAACCGTAGAAGTTAAGTTGTTCTTGCAGCAGAAGCATTTATTCCCTGCAGGGGATGGCAGTGTAGAAACCATAAATGGCCTGATGTGTTTGAAATTTGCAGTCTAAGAAAGTGTAGAGCAACTTGAGAGGAGCTTAATATGAGTACTGGGGTCCTGTGTCCAGTTCTGGGCCCCTCACTTCAAGAAAGACATTGACGTGCTGGAGTGTGTCCAGAGAAGGGCAATGGAGCTGGTGAAGGGTCTGGAGCACAAGTCCTGTGAGGAGCAGCTCAGGGAGCTGGGGTTGTGCAGCCTGGAGAAAAGGAGGCTCAGGGTAGACCTTATCACTCTCTACAAGTATACATGAAAGTAGGCTGTAGCCAGGTGGGGGTTGGACTCTTCTCCCAAGCAATCAGTGACAGGACAAGAAGTCACAGCCTTAAGCTGCACCAGGGGAAGTTCAGATTGGACAT